AGTTTTTTTATGTCATCTGCACTCTCTCCTGTTTCTTCATTGACTCTGATCAGTCTTATGTTATTCTTCTTTGCAGATGCTGGATCAATTTCACATGGTTCCTTACTATTTTAAAAAAGTTTTCTTTTCCTAGTCACTGATTGCAATCCTATCTTCTATATCTGAAATTCTGTCCTCACATTGGCTCATTCTGCTGCATAAACTTTCTATGTAGTTTTTAATGTCCTCCTTGCATCTATTTTATGGATTCCATTTTTACCTTATGCTGGGATTCCACCATGTTCCTCAGCTCCTCTATTTTTTTATCTGTGTCTTCTCTAGATTAATCATGCCTTGCACTATAGGCACAATCTCTGTTGTTCTCTGAGAAATTATTTCTGATTTCAATTTTTCCAGATCCTGTTTCCTTGCCAGTTTGGGGAGTCCAGGTGGTTGAGTATCAGATTCTTCCATCTTGTTTCTCTTTGAGATTGCCTTAGGTGATCTGGAAGTCTGGTTTGGAGACTTGCTTATGTATCTTCTCATTTCAACAGATGCAGCCTCCTATGCCTTTATTGAGGCAATTTTTTGCTCACCCAGTGGTCTTCAATTCTCTGCAAGCCACCAAATGGCCTTTTCTCTGCTGCTCACCAGTGCACCAATTCCTAGGTTCAGAATGATTGCCTTCTGCATCTCTGAGCTGATCTGTTGCCTGGGTGACCTTCTGACTGGAGCTTGTACACACTTGGAATGCTATCTAGGCATGTGTCTGGCTAGGGCCTGCTCCCCCCCCCCCATATAGCTGTTTTCTGGGATGGCCTTTGACTGGGGCCTGTGCATCCCAGTTCCCGGTGTCTGAGCATGATTCTGGCTAGGGTCTCTGCACACTTACTGATGTTATCAGGGCAGGCCTCTGGCTGTTGCTTGTCTGCCTATACAGCTCTTTTCTGGGCAGGCCTTTGGCTTGGGCCTGTGTGCCCAAGCAGCTGGGGTCAGGGCTGGGCCCTGGCTGTATCTATCTGCAGCCATGCCACTCAGGTCCACACCACAGCTAACTGTGATCTGCATATGCACTTACCAATGGTATCGGGGTGGGCCTCTCCAAGATTCCTATATTCTCATGGTGAATTTAGTTGAGAGAAATAGTTCTGAAATGTTTTAATTTATTGACCAATATCACAATGTTTGTCTTTGTTACTTCCTCGTTGCTGAGAAAATGTCTCAGACAGACACAAGTTAAAAGAGGAAAAGTTTATTTCTGATAACAGTTTATAGAGTTTTACATCCATTACTGCCTGTCTCCAAGCAGGGCAGCATGGTATGGGGGCATTAAAGGAGGCATGGTAGAGAAGAAACAGTCCATGACATGGCAGGTAGGAAGCAGCAAGCAGTGAGCTTGCATTCTTTCTTTTCCCATTATAGCCCATCCTGTTATATTCATTGTATATTCCTTTCTATAAGCCTCTTGGGTGTTGCCACCCACACTCAGGGTGGGCCTTCCCATTATCCACACGCAGAACCATGTTAAAGCAATTAGTAGGTTTACTTAACTATCCACATTCTTAATCTATAGTCAGAAACCCTTGATCCAGCCACCTCATAAAAGCCCCAGACTTGAGCCCAAGAGGCTTTGGACAGACATCTAGATATAAGCTACAACAATGTTAGTGTCTTGTGAACTGGCAATTTGATTTGTAAGTGCATGCTGATATATATATTAGCATATATTTTTTATAATTGATCTTTCTTAATGCACATTAAATAGGATAGGTAAACACATTGTAGTATGCTTTATCTGTGGTATACTATTCAGAAAGAAAAATGAACATAATTGAGATATAATAAATAGATAAGACTAACAAAATGATGTGCAAAATACATACTGTGTGACTCCCTTTACATGATATTAAAAAACAAGCAAAACTGAATTGCAAAATGAAAGAATGCATGGTTAGGTTGTAAAGTATGTATAAAAAAGAGAGAAACAAGAAAATAATTATATCAGATGTTATGAAATTTACCTTTAGGGAAGTGTCATAAAATATTAATGAAGGGAAATTACCAGGCTTGTTGATGGTGATTAAAGATTACTTCTTCATGTAGTGGCTACTTTTATGGTTGTTTCCTCTATAATAATTCAGACTTTTTTTCCTTTTTGTTCATGAATTATACACAAAACAGCAAAGAAAAATACACTGGCATGTTATTTTTTTTCTCATCACCTTACTCAAAGATTTAATAGTAGTCACTTAATCAGATAAATTGAGAGTGCTACCTCACACATATTCACTTCTGGACTGTCTATTCTTACTAATTAACCTATATCCAATCTATTGTACATGCAAGAAATAGTGAGTAACTTATTATCCCATGTAATGTTCTCTTTAATTATAGGTTTAAATGGCTTCACTGTAATCACAGTTTTTTGATGCCATAAATTGTTAATTTAAAATTATTTTTAATTTCACAATGTGTATTTAAAGTTTGTGATGTTTGTCATCCCATCACATTTGATGAATAAAACCATGAATTCCTAAGGACATATCATATTTCATTTTTTCTGATACAGTTAGCTATCTCCATTCTTTATGTGTCACATACAAAAACTAAAATGGAATTTGTATATTTCTGAATGAATTTGTACATTTTTATTTTCATTAATTTTAAGAGGATGATTTGTCATTAATTTTTCAGGATACACTATTCATGCCAACAATAAAGAAATATCTAATTTTCTGAAGAAGAATTAAAATATATTATTTAGTGTTTACTTTTCCTATCACATTCAACATATTTTGTGTATTGTCTGCCTATTGATTAATATATTTTTATCCCTGTCATTGTACTTTTATTTCTTAATAGTGTATGGTTGATAAATCCTATTAAAAACAAAACATATTATGCCACAAGTTTAATTTTGTATTGTTGACAAGTTCTTTCTTTCAATGATAAACTTATTTTCCACGTTGTCTAATGATATAGCTTTATCTGTACGTGAGAGAGATAGAGAGACAGACAGGGAAAGGGAAAAGGGAGTTTGCTTGCATTCTTTATTTCTTTGACTATATCACAACAAATATAGAGATCCGGATATCTGTCCCTCTCTATTTGATTCCTTTTAAAAATTACTTTTTAGATCTAAGAATTGATGTTTGGTTGGGGGGAATATAAACACAGTCTACTGATGCAGCATCCTGAGAGAGGTTGAATGAAGATATAAGGGAGAGGAATGACAACAGGGAAGAAAGATGAAAAGTCAAGCCTCATCAGCCAGTTTGGGGCTCATATTTAATCTCAGGATTACAGAATGATTCTTTCAAATCCACATCTTTCTTTTGCCTTAACAGTACTGGAACAAAAATCCTAGTGTGTACATTTTCTGCATGTCTAGTTTGTGTGTTACATTAGAGCCTCTAGATTAGTTTCTTTTTAATATAATTGATTAACAGCAGGAAATCATTTAATTATTTATCATCCACTGTCATTTTTACTGAATGCCTAAGAAGTCTCTGGCGTTGTGCTATGCATTATAGTTGTAAGTGTAAGTAGGACACCGCTACTGTACTCAACATACTTGAAGCAAGAGATTTAAAATTCAGTACTATTTATTTCTATGTCCAATAAGAGAAGTAAACCTCCACATTTAATAACATTCACTTAGATAAAAATTATTAAAATGTGTGGTTCCATAGGCTGTCGTCTATATGAATCTTTATCTCTGTTTCTGTTTTCCTGAAAGGTATGTATGTGAATATACCTATGTTTATATTTTCAAATAGAAATATTTCTTAGTGTTTAAGTTTCTTGTTTCATTGTATAATTTTTGTTACATTACATGTTTCTATTACCTGTATATCAATAAATATTATAGAAAATGTACACATGTAAATAATTCAAAATTTTAAAAAAGGCAGATTCTAGGATAGTCTCAAAATGCATCCATTTAGTTATAAATGTCTCAAGTTTATCTTTCTTTATGGCTGAGTAGTACTCCACTGTGTTAAATAAAAACATCTTTTTTATTCCTTCATTGGTTGATGAGCATTTGGATTGTTTCCAAGATTTAGCTATTACAAATTTTATCACTATGAACATGATTGCACATATATCATTGTGGAAATCAGATACATATGTGTAAATAATCCGTTGTCTCTCTGGTATAAGAAAGTGAAAGGGTAAATAAGGACCAAAATATATAAAAGATATGGAAGAAAAATAAGAAGAAATGTTGACAAGCAAGGGAAAGAGAGAAAATGGGGAGAGAGAAAAGGGAAAGGAAAAAAGTAAGAAAGAAGGAAAAATGGAAAAAAAAGCTTTTGTAAATAAGGAGGGAGGGAAGATTGATGGGAGGGGAGGGGATTGGGAGAAAAAGAGGAATCAAGATATACCATTTACAGGTACAAACTCACTTTGATGAATATGATCATTATGTAAATTTAAATTGTTCCAATAAAATTAATTTAAAAATGTAAAGTCAAAGAGGGGAGATCATACCCAGATGTATGGGTATAGGTTGGGCTTTTACTTATGTACCAATAAAAGAATTTAAGCAAAAAAAAAAAAAAAAAGAATATTAGAGCATAGCAAGTTTCTTGGAAATTAATGGGAATCAAGTGTTGTTTTCTCAATAATTGTTTTCTTTATGGGTCTAAGGGATGCCAGAAAGGAACTTCTAACTGTAATTGGAGAGACTAAAAGCAGAATGAGTGAAAAAACTTGAAATATTTACATAAATGAAGTAGGTTTTCCTTCACATCTGAGCCAATCAAGGTTATTGTTTTTAAAAGATTTATTGAATGCCATCTTAAATTATTAGCTTAGAGGATTTAAAGATTTTTTTCACATGTACGTATTTTAATAAAACATGAATGGTTTCATCATTCAAGTTGTTACTTGGAACCAACTTGAAATTTCTGTAGGACTTCATGGTGATCAAGATTGGTTTTTGGAGAAAAACATTTTCAAAACATGGTCACGGATTTGTTTGGTCTTAACTCCATAGACAATAGGATTGAGAAAAGGTGGGACTAACAGGTAGAGATTTGACAAGAGAATGTGAACATATGGTGGGATGTGTGAGCCAAACCTGTGCGTGAAGAAGGAGAAGAAGGCCAGGAGGTAGAACTGGAGGAAGACACAGATGTGAGCGATGCAGGTGTTGAAAGCTTTCAATCGCGCCTCCTTCTGAGGCAACTGGAAAACAGTGATAAAAATTCGAGCATAGGACAGGGTAATAAAGATTATGTCAAACCCTAAGATGAGGAAGGCAACCAGTAGGCCATATATCTTGTTGACTCGGACATCCTCAGCTGCTAGTTTCACAACAGCCATGTGCTCACAATAAGAATGAGAGATAACTGCAGTTCGATAGCGCTTCAGGTGACATTTAATAAGAAGGAGACTTGGTACTATAAGAATGAGTGCCCTAAGTGTCACCCCAACTCCAAGATGAGTCAGTAGTCGATAGGAGAAGATAGTGGCATGTCTCAGAGGGTGACAGATGGCCACGTAGCGATCCAGGGCCATTGCCAGAAGGACACCTGATTCGGTGGCCTGGAATGAGTGAATAAGCCCCATTTGCAATAGGCAAGCATCAAAAGAAATCTCTGGAGAATGAAACCAGAAGATGCCTAACATTTTGGGCAGTATAGAGGTGCTAAGTGCTATGTCTGTGGCTGCCAACATGGCCAGAAAAACGTACATTGGTATATGTAGGCTGTTTTCATTTTTGATTGTAACTAAAATGATGGTATTCCCAAGCACAGCAATGATATACATGGCACAGAATGGAATACCAATCCAACACTGCACTGACTCCAGGCCAGGAATTCCAATCAGTATCAATGCAGAAGGCATGAAGATTGAGCCGTTAAATGTAACCATGTTGCCTTGGCTGGTAGAAGCAAGTAGTGGTGTTGCTATTTCATCTTCTATTCCATGTCAAGACCTGACATGTAAGACAAAGAGAAATGATTTGACAAACTATATGTTAGTCAGGTTAGTCTCTTATAGTCTGATTCTCCACTTATAGATCCTCAGAATGTATTAAAATTTATTCTCCAAAGGTTCAATGGTTCCCCAAGTCCAACTGTTTCCTTTGCTTCTACTCTTACTTCTCTGAGAAAATAAATCCATTGTATTTGAGTTTAAATTTTTCTCAGAGATTGTGCTCCCCTTCCATGGCTTGATGTGTACCTGTCCTTTGTGTTTGATATCACATGCCAATTCATGTTTCCTGCATTTCTTTCTTTAACAATAACTGCTTTTTGCTTGTAGGCTTTAATATTCATTTCAGATGAACCCTTTGAAATAAGATAGAATGCTTTAAGGAAAGCAATTCTCTGTTCTTGCACACACACATTTAATCCACTCACAAAACAATATCTGTGTAGGTGAAAATATTTTCACAGTTTTCATAGCACCACCTACACCCTCTTCTCCCCCTGTACCTTTCTGCTTTCCACTGGTCACCCCAGCCCACAGACCTGCAGCCCTCCAGGGCCTCCATCTCTCACCATAGATCTGCTTCAGGGTAGAGAGACACTGCTTTGTCTTCTAAAACTCATAAAAATTTGTCTACCAGACAGCCTGTGATGCTATAGCTTACAACCTGGACTTATATTTCCTTCAAAAGTATAAGAATAAAACAATTTACCAGTACATGTTTTAGAAATATATGAAAAATATAAAACAATTTATAAATGCATTCTTAGCAATTACATACTTACTTTTGAAAACATTTAAGAAGAGTTTGAAATAAACAAGTAATGTGAAAATGAAAACAACAGATTAGTAATAGAAACTCTCATGATTGGGCCTTTTTTCTTCAGCAAGTATGTTTATTGTTGCTTTTTTGGCACCCTGGTAAAGTTAGACTGTCTCTGAGAAATGAAAGGACACTTATAACCTATATGAGAGAAAGGGGAGTGGTATTTTTTGCTTCATTTTCTTCAAATTTAACTTTCTGGGAAATTTTTCCTTTAAGAAATATAAAATATGTTAAACTATAATCTTCCTTTTATCAGAAAATAGTTTTAATACATATAAATTAAAAGATTTTTCATAGCAATTTTACTCTGAATTGTTTACTATCTATTTTGCAAGCACTGTTTCAAACATTTGAGAAAGATAAACTCATCTATTCTGTATTTATGAAGTAGCTAAATTGTGTTAAGAGGGTGGAATATGAAGCAGTAGGATCTACAATTTATCACATATATGTTGTACCATTTACTCTCTTAAATTCTTAGAATATTTTGGAATGATTTACTTGGTTGTGTTTATGATATTGACATCATTAGCTTATGATATTAATTTGAAAAACTAAGAATTATTACAGGTATATCTCCTTGGAGGCAAATTCCATGGCATAGTGATCCACTATTTTAAGACAAATAATTTTAAGCTTTTCTTGATGGCAGATAGGGTAGAGTTTCTGCCTATTAAAAATCCAAAGTACAACAATTGTGAATACTTTGAAGGGCATGGAGGACAGAAGGCAAGAAGTTTGTGACAGAAAGCAGTTTGTAATAGTCCAGATGGAGCACAAAGAAATGATATGGCAATGGTGAGGGAATGAGAAGTAAAATCTATGTGATTCACTGACTAGACGCAGAAGAACCTGAGAGAAATTGAAATAGAAATGTTCTTGGATTGAGAATTACTGGACTGGATGAAAAAAGGCAATCTGAGGAGAATTTTGTGTGCACAAATACACACATATTTAAAAGAAAGAGGAAAGCTTTTTTTATTCATTGATATTCCTGAGCCAAAGTGAATGATTTGAAATTTTCAGTTTTCTCCATCTTAACATACCCTGAATCACTAACGTTGCCTACAAGGTCAGTTCTTTCTCAGGCTAACTCCCAGGATTTAAAACTCTTTAAGGACTTGGGCATCTAATTCTAAACTCCTTATGCAGACTAATCCTAATGCAATATCGATGATATCTTCACTTTATACCATGTCTTATATTTTTTACTATTTGATTTCTGCCTTAAACTCTGCACTGACAGAATACTTTTACTTTTTCTGAGATAGTTGTCCGCATTACAAATGTCAAACAGCCTTCTCATAATTAGCCCTAAAATGCCTCCACTTAATTTCTCAAAAAAGTTGTAAATTCAGATGGTAGATATTTCCATGGATTGTAACAATGAATTATCCAGAATCTGAAGCTCTCAGACAGCACAAATCCCAGATCTGCCACTGATCAGTTTTCATGCTCTTGAGCTAGGAATGAAAGTAAGTTCCTCATTTTCATCATTGGTAGAATAAGGCTAATGGATCAAGACATAACAAGATAACTGAAATTTACATCAGAAAATCCATTTACAGTATTTACAAAGAATTATTAAAAGTATTACTTTCTTAGCAAAAGCAAGCTATTAACCCACAGAAACATCTTACCCTTTGGATAAAGCAGCTTCAGGTATGTGATGACACAAGAGGATTTCTTCCAAAAATTCTCCAGGCTAAGAATGTAGACCTTCTTGGAAAACAAGCTTTCCAATAATACATTAGTCCAGATATTATTCTCTATATGCTCTCTAATTTGTTAAACTCAATTCAACATTGCTGACCCCATATTTGATTAATTTAGACATAGTCTGAAAAGCATGTGTTATTGTAAAACAAATTGTTACAGAGTGCAGACACTCAAATACTGTAAGTTCCTGCTGTTATTTTATCTTCCTGCCATCAGAGGGTATCACATAGGGTATGCATTGTTTTTGAAATAAATCCTCCATTTCCCCACTCACAGTGCAGAACCTTAAGCCCACATACTTACAGGAACTCTCCGTGAAAACATAAGCAGAACTCACAGGGTATAATCTTCTTGAGGATTCAGGCAGTGAAGGATGAGTGTTTTGTACCCTAGAATGCCCATGTGGGACTGGGTTTCTCTAAGGAACCTTAAGCTTCTCCTATGATAAGGATAAAAACCAAAGCAAAACATAGTTCAGAACAAAGAGCTCCATTATGTAATAAGAGCTCTGAAACAAATTTTTTTTGTTTCTCAAACTCTGGATGTCCATATATCTTTGGAACTTGCAGAAGAAATGACCCTTTTAAAAAATTCATAATAGAAGACAGTATCCCAATATCACAAAAAATAAACCAATGAAACTTATTACAGAAATAATGAGCTATAAAGTAAAATTAAGAATTTTTCAATACATATTTATATTAATCACCGTGCATGCATGCTGACAGAGAAAGAAAAAGCATATTTTAATTGTAATTCTAGCATGACAGCCACTGATTTTTATGAGGTTCACAAATTAACTAACTTCAGAAAGGGTACTTAGAGCTTCAGTCTCCTTAGGTCTCTAAGTGCAAATCCTCCATGGAGAGGTGAAATAAATATTTCCTATGTCCAAACCAGCTCTCACTAAGTAGTTCTACCATGCTCACAATTTGAACTAATTTTATTTTTGGTACCTTGAGTGCCAATTATAATATACATAGTTATATATATTATCATATATATGTTATATAGATGTGTGCTCAGAACTAATATTTTGACCTCTATTTACTTAGTAGAAAGAAGGGATTGTACCCTGGTGAGGGAATTTTCAAAGTTGGAATGTCTGTGGAATGAAATAGTGAGATCATGTTAACCAGAAACTAGTAGGTGTGGGTCAATGGAGACATAAGTCAAAAGACACATAATTTCAGATGGAAAGGTAAAATACATTCAAGTAAGCTATGCTAAGTCATGGTGACTCACTACAATTGATAACAATATATTGTACACTTGAAAATTGCTTAGATTAGATTTTTCTTCCAATAAGTTTATTTGTAAATTTTAGGTATACAATACAGTTACAATCATCATTGGGATCTTGTACCTTTAAATGATTTAGCTTGATTCATAATTTTTCCCCTTCCCCTGCCCTCCTTTCACCCCCTCCACCCTTCCCTATTTGCAAAGACTTTGTTTCCGTTTTTTTCTCATATTTTTTTCTTTTTCCTTCTTTTCTTTCCCCTACCCCTCCCACTTCCCCTACTCCTTTATAGCTTTTCTTCCAATGACCCAATATCAATTATATATTTTGATCCTTACACTTTTAGTTTTTCACACCAGAGAAACTATTTGGTATATACACGTGTGTGTCCTATTTATTTCACTAAAGAGTATGCCCTCAATGTGCATCCATTTATCTATAAATGTCTCCAGTTTCTCATTTTTCATGGCTGAGTAGTACTTCATTTTATTTTTTTAAAAATCACATCTTCTTTATCCAGTCTCCAGGTGATGGACAATTGGCCTGTTTCCAAGTTGTACCCATTACAAACTGTGCCACTATACTCATAGGTGTGCATGTATCACTGTGGTATGATTCTTTTAATTCTTTTGGGAAGATACCCAGCAGAGGAATAGCTGGGTCAAATGGGACCTCTAATTCTAGTTTTCTGAAGTATCTCCATATTGATTTCCACAGTGGTTGCACCAGTATGCACTCTCACCAACAAAGGAGAAGGGTTCCTTTCTCTCCACAATACCACCAGCATTTGTTGTTGGTTGATTTCATGATAGCAGCCATTCTTTCTGGGGTGAAGTAGAATCTCAGTGTTGTTTTCATCTGCATCTCTCGATTAACCAGTGATGTTGAACATTTTTTTCATATGTTTATTTGCTGTTTTAACTTCTTTGTCTGAGAAATGTCTGTTCATTTCAGATGTCTATTTTGAATTGGGTCTTTATATTTGGGGGGGGTCTGATTTTTTAAAGTTCTTTATATAGTCTAGATAATAGTCCTTTCTCTGAGGAATAGCTAGTAAAAAATTCTTCCCACATTGTAGGTTGTCTCTTACCTCTGTTGGTGGTTTTTCTTGCAGTGCAGGAATTTAATAAGATGTGATCCCAGCTGTTGATT